AGGCACCTGTTTCAAACATGTATATAAAATTAATGAGTTCCTGCATTTAGCCCTCTCTATTGTCCAATCAGTATGACAAACCCTTCTCTTCCTTCTATAGAAAAGAATCAACACTGATGATAGAGTAGCATCCATTCAAAATGGCCCTTCTAAGTCAAACGTCAGCCGAATAGCAGCAGACTTCCCTCGAACTCCCAGCGAAATCCCCTCCAACTTCCAGCCACTGGAGTGACCCCCTCTGGCATTATTTTTACTCTGATTCCACGCTTTCACTGAATTACAGGGTCTGACCAGGAGATGATGCTTCTCTTTGGATCTTATTGTCCACAAATCATGACAGAAAAAATATCATATTCATATTAAAAAGGAATTGTAGGGGACCAGCCGAGGACCAGGCAAGGGCCCTTCAAGGAAAGTTGGGAAAATTTTAAAGGCTACTACTGTACTTCCACGTCAGTGCTTTACTGGGAAAGTGGTGGGTTATGGGTGCTCTACAGAGTCTGTTTTCTATTATATGTAGTGTATTGTATTTATGTTAAAGTCAAACATATCTCTGTTGTATCTCTGGTTAATGCTCTCTGTGCCCGGTCAGGTTAGTTCAGGGAAGCCCTGGTTCTGGTATTGTAGATCATTTCTTCCATCTGGGACAACTTTTCCAACTTTTAGCAACACTGAAAATAATTGGAACTTTTTGTTAAATTTTGTTATCAGACAAACCAATTTCAGTTGGTTGCCTTTGTCAGGGTCATTAACCACATATGAATAGAATCTGGATTGTAATTAGCACTATGTAATTACTATGTAATTAGGTGCACTGGCTTTTATGTAAATGTTTAAGAGGAAAGAGGGCTGTATGCAAAGAAATGTCACACCTTTGAATTTTTTATTTGGAAAAGATTTTCCTCCCCATGCCCATTTATGAATTACTTTATGTTTGACTATTGATGTAAAATCTTCAGGAATGACATCACAGTTTATTACCATATGAGAAAACATTAAAATCATACAAAAACCTCAGGAAGACTCTGTGATTACGATACAATTTTTCCTCTTTTTCATTTATGGGATAGCTTGTGTAAATAATAAGAGTAATTATCTCCAGGTTTGCCTGAGGTTCCCAGAAGCCAGACCTGGATTGAGCCTCATGCACCGTTTGAACTGTCCTGAAACAACTCGCCCGATGCTCTTCCTGACACAGATGAAGCACTTAACTCCTCCTGTCTGCTATCCCAGCAGGCCGAGGGTGAATTAATGAGCTCCCTGTCCGGTCAAGAGTGATCCATTACTTCCTGTAATTATAAATAATAATCTTGATTATTACGCTGGTTAGCCAGCGAGAGTCATAGATGGATGTTGCTGGGATATGATTCATCGTATTTCTCCTTCTCTTGAATTTGCTCATAGACGTATGCTTGCCACAGACGGCAGCAGGTTTTCCTTCGGCAGCATTCTGGCACAAGATCAGGATGCTGATTATGGATGATGCTGATTACCAGCAGGACCGGCGGTTTTTACCAACTGCAGAGGCTTATATTAAATCTTAAGATTTATTGGGTAATGGCTCTAATATGCACTGTTAATGGTAGTATATTTTGCTGCCTTTACACCTACACTAGATGCAGATTTTCAAACCAACTGCTTTAAAACTTGAATATCTGTTCAGCAAACCCTCCTACATTGTTCTAAGCCAGGATATGTCTGCACTTCCATCAGGTTTAGGTGACATATTTTGCCAGATCTAAAGCTATAACAAATTTTAACCCAATAATGCCAAATGTATCATATTTGATACATACGGTTTCTGAAATGTTTTGCATCTAATACCTTTTGAATAATTTAATGGTAAAAACTTTGCTCAAAATCCTATTGTACACAATCAGATGTACCTGATAACAGCCAGTAGAAGACTACACAAAAAATAATCTTGACTTATCACATAGTAATAAATTATTAATATCAAAAATGTATTTATGTTTTTTCTTTTTACATATTTTGTTAAAAGGGCAAATAAGGAATTCAAACCACACTGAGCAAAAAAAAAAGTGGGCGAAAAAGAAATCCCACACTATAATAATAGATTTTACACCTAAAATCACATGCACAATAATTATTGCCTGTGTTTATAAATTCATTAATATTTTATATTTATTAGAATGCTATTTTACAACATTTTATCTATTCAATCTATCTGAAAAATGACAATATAAAAAAAAAAGGAATTTATAGAGTCCCTGAGGTCACGCAATCCAACAAGGATCTCTGGGCCTTTAAAAGCGACACAGATTGACAGCATCACAGATGCTGTGGTTACTTTTGTGATGGTAGGACAGAAGAAGCGTCGAAATGACAGTGAGGCTCACGGAAGGTGTCTAATGGTAGTTATAAGGACTTATAACCTTCAGTCTAAACTGGAGGTCTCAATTTTCATGATCCTCCTCACTGATTGTGTTTAAATAAGATTTGGTTATCTTGTCAACGTTTCAGTTTAATCATGTTTTTAACTACCTATCTGGCTGTTATAGATGTGAAGTTAGTTTCCTGTTGCCATTTCTTGACTTATTAACATCAGCAAACACCTTCGCTATTTGAATATTCTGCTGTCTTTGGACTTTTCTATTTCTCCTTAGAGACTGTTATTCACTATAAATTTATCAAAACAAATGTATGAATTTATTAGCTATTCATTTGGCTCAGGATGGAAATATGCAAGTGATGGTCTTATTTATTCATTTATTAAAAACATCTTTCTCACTATAAATATAAAGGGGGTATTTTTACTGTTCTAATAACTCACACTTCTCAAGTGTTCTATTATTTTATAACACTTGGGATGTTATTTCTATAATGTTATTTTAGCAGACATCTAGACAAATTGCTAGATCTGACTTCTTGAGCATTTCAGATGATATAGATGCTTTTCGTTTTTTGCTAAAATGTATAAAGGTGTCAGTTAAAGCATAAATATTTTTCAGAGGTGCGGTTGACCTGCAGCCCTTGGCCGTCCACCGTCACAGAATTGGCTCTCTGCATCTTTCCTCGACTCGACTGGCTTGACCGTGAGTCCTTCCTCAGAGTCGACTGCCGTTCCTGAAGTGACAACTTTAATATTAACAGTTTTATTCTAAAAAGCAAGCGAAACAAGTAGATAAAAAAACAGAAAGTTCAACTGAAAAAAATATAGTTCTATATACCCAGACCCAAACACATGTATAAAAAGATATATAAAAAATTTTCTGTGTTGTGAATTTTATACAGCTTCCATAATTGCACCTTTTCGAGCCAATACTTTTTTCCATCTTTCTTTTAGCAACTGAGCTGCTGTTTTCAATTGTTTTCTAAGGTGTATAACACAGAAAAAATTATTCCTTGGTTTTATTCGAACAATTCAAAGTTTTAGCAAAAAATAAAGAACAAAAAAGCCTGAAGAATAAAGTGAAAAATGTGCTGCAGGTCTCTTGACAACCAAATAGATTTTAATCTAACCTACAATGAAGGAAATGGGAAATCATCCAGCTGTATGCAGCATGTTTTACTACCCTGTATGCTACTTTTGCTCAACTTTAGAGTCCTGTTGATCACTTCCCTCCTTCTTTTCTATATGTGATAAAAGACATGACTGCAACATGGCACAAAAAGAGCATCAAATTCCTTGTACTGTAGCTGCTACACTTGCTGGGTATATTTGTATATAAATGTATTCATAGCAGCTTGCTTTGTGAATCCAACCCAGAATCATCTTGCAAATGATAAAATTAGACTAAAGTGTTCGGTGGATTTTATACCATCTGATTTTTTTTGTATTTAACCTGCTGATCATCAGTAAGAACCATCTGAGAGAGGTGGAATAAATAACAATTTTTTTTTGCAAACTAATTTAACCATCTTACGTATGTGTCTGGATTTTAAAAGAAAAGCTGAGAAACTAAAGTTTCATCTGTTGCTTTTGGAGGAAAAAGTTATTAGAGTAGAGAACTTGCATCGTCTTTAAACACACTTGTGCAATTTGGGACATAAAGTTCTACAAAATAAATTGGTGCCATTTCAGAGCTCAGTAGGAGAACACAGGCCTGATGATTGGATCATCAGGTCTCAAACAAGGCCCGGTTCTCTCAGCCTTAAGGCCTGCTGTCCAGAAAAGAGCAGAGTCTTACCAGAACAACAGGGCAGATTGAGTTTGGGGGCAGGATGTGATCCTTCAGGGGTCCGCAGTCACACTCAGGTTTCACGTGGGAAGCACACTTGTTATGGAGCTGGAGGAGGTGGAAGCTATTATTAACAACCTCAAACTAGCGGCAACAGAAATAAATATTTCAGCAATATTTTTCAGGGTTTATTTGCAAATGCGCACATCACTGTCTCGCTCTTATTTTCTATTATCCTATAGCTGCAAACAAGTGTTTTCTGAGTGTAAATTGGCAAAATCAGTTGTGAGGTATCAGAGGTGCCAAAATGAAAGCCTAAACAACAAGAAGCAGTGGGAATATAATGAGGAGGTGGCTGCCTCTCGGCAGGGGGGTGGCTTACCGTGATTTGACACCAAACACAGTGGAGCCCAGTCAGGCCCTGGTAACACTTAATGGTTTTGTGACACTTGTCACACTTGGTGGGGCAGTTCCCCTCCACCCAGAAATGATGCATTACCTGCAGAGAGGAGGAGAGACGGCATACTGGGTGGAAAAGCAGCGAGAAAAAGAAACGTTCAGAAAAACAAGATGTACACAAAGGTAGAAGTGACACTGCAATTAAAGATGGAAAGAGGAGAGAAAACAATCAGGAGGAAACAACAAATAAATAAGAGAAAAGAAGCCAAACAATTGCTTTGTGTGTTTGTCAGTGAAAAAGGGATTATGCTGGTAATTAGTTATCTATATAACAGTTATTTTTTTTATAAGGAGGAGTGAAGCTTCATAAAGATTAGCTGATCCGTGGTAGCCAGCAGCCGGACTCACCTCTGTGTTCTTCTTGGACTTCACATATGTTTTGATGCAAGACAGTGGAGCGCGAGCCACACAGCGCTCATGGACCGTATACTTGCAAACTGACAAAAGCCAAAAAATAAATAAACATAAGTCAGAATAAGACAAATGTCAGAATATGAATTTACCTCGAAATTTATATTCTCAAGCAATATACATTTCGTTAATGTGCTTAAATTGAATTAAATGTTTATACTATTTTATGAATACTAAGGGAAAAAAACTGGCATCTTTGGATACCCTCTCTTAATAAAATATTATTCTATAACCTTTTATGAATAGAGATCACAGCACTCTTTCCACTCATTGATATCCACGACAGAGACCTTCAAAACATCTCAAAATAGATGTATATCTTCTGATAAACTTTTTTTAACACCTAACATTTTTTATTTTCAAATTGGTACATTTAATCAGAGTAAAAGGAAATGACGTTCAGATTCAGATCGGAAAATTTTGTGAATGATGCCAATATTATTTGCAAATATTAAGAAAAAAAAATGTGTGTATATATAAAAAAAAAGTAAAGTGTCTTTTATATATCCTGAAAGATGTCATTCACTGGGAAAAAAATCAAAATCTAGACGAGTTATTTTTTTCTTAAAATAACTGCATTTGCCCTTGGATTAAGGTAGTAAAAGAGACATCTTGCCAATGGAACAAGGCAATTTACACTTAGAATAAGAAAACAAAATAGCATTGTTTAATTTCAAGTGCAGATTATGTAATTATCTTATTTATCAGAGTAAAAATACTCATTCCGTTGGCAAACTATCTCATTTACCTACTCAAATTAAGGGGAAATACACTTAATTTAAGACATTTTTACTTATTTCTAGATCGTGTTTCCAGTGTTCACACTAAAGTAACGCTCATCAAGACACTCAAATAACTAAATCTTTAATATATAATCACACAAATGCATCAGTAGGGTAAAAAAGGAAAAATTAGAGGTTTTTATTGCTACTGCTATTTTTGTATTGGTCAAATACGAAAAAACTAAAGGGCAAGTATCACCAATATCGATAGAAACACGGATAATTTTCAATATTAAAGTTTAGTCTCATCCAAATTTAAATGCTTTTGTATGTCCAACTTTTGGATAACATTTATGCAGAATAGTATAATAAGATCCAATTAATGTTAAAAATGGAAACAACAGAATAAGAGATAAAATTAAATGTGTGTTTTGTCTGACACAAAGTGCAACTTAGAGTTCATAAACCACAGCAAAAAATACAACAAAATTTTACCCGATGTGAGTGTATTTTTTGAATTTGGATCTAAAATAACTAAAGAGAACAATAAATGCTGCCATAAATACAAAGAAGAAATCCCAGAAACCTCACAGTGGGCCTGTGGAGAAAAAATGAAAACACTACAGTGGGGGTTGTGTCATCTCACACATTATGCTGAGACAGAGCGACAACTTGGATTACTGTAAGAGTGAATCTGAAACTAAAGTATCAACCTCGTCACCATGGTATTCAGCCAAAACAGATACCGACTTGCATAGTCCATATTTATTTTAATGCACAGTAAAATTATCTGTTGGAGACCTGAATCACAGAGCGGCATTATGTGGTCTCCATAGCAACTATTGGTCAAGAGAAGGTGGTCCTTTCTTTCCTCACATTTAAAGAATTAACTTCAACAGATTGTTAACTCCTGCTTTGACTTCAATTCAACTCTATTCTTTGGTTAGATGAGCAAATATATGTTCTTTGGAGACACAGTCCAGTTAGTTTTGGCATAAAGGAAAAGAATAAATAAGAGGAGGAAACACCTCATCCCTACTGTTAGATGCTGGGGTGCATCTGCGATACTGCAGGTCTGTTACTAACACATGCTGTAATGAACTGATTGAAATATCAAGGAGAATTCAATAAAAATCAGGTGGCTTCTGCCAAACAACTGGAAACAGATCACCACTGGGTCACTTCAAGCAGGATAATGACCCTAACATGTGGCTGTAGCAACACAAAAATGGCTAACCAAACACCAAATTAGCCTTCCTTTATGATCAAATGTATTTCTTTAACTATTTTTAGGAAAACTGTGAGGTGAGCTCTACAGAAGAGAGCATGAAAGAGGTTCTAAATTGAGCAAAAAGAAACATATTTCCATTTGCTCAGAAATATAATATAAATATATTCTCATAGTTGCATTGAACATGCTTTATTGTGAAAGAAAAAAACATTTATTAGTTTTTTTCCACTAAATAAATTTACCTAAAAATTTTTTTAGGATACTTAAGAAGTTTTAATATGAATTTGTTCTTTGCAGTACAAGAAGACTTTGTTTTTATGGTTTCTTAGTTTGTGATTTTAATCAAATGAAAATAAACATGGTAATAATAAACACAGTGCAATATTAGCATATTTTAAACATCAGCTCCTGAGTATTTAGGGATAAACTCACATGAGCAGCAGAGTCCCTGCTTCCCCAGTCCAATTAGCATGTTGAGACACAGGTTACAGTAGGCGGGTTTGTTGAAGTGCTTCAATCTCCACACATGCTGCCCGTCATCTTTTACATTCTGAACAAACAGAGCAGACTCATCATTAGTGACTTAATGAGAAACTGTAGTGGAATTACTTTATTTCATGTTAAATTGGATGAGAATAAATCAATTACAAGATTATTTTATTTCTTATCTTTTTTATTTTGTGGATACCTTTGAAATGCATTTTTGATCTTTTAGTAAAAGTATTCAAATGATTCATTCATTCATAAATTAAAAAGAGAATTTGGGTTTTGAACTAAAGGTTGGGAAAGGCTGCCATCTAGAGAATAATAAAAGAATAGCGTTCTTTGTTTTCCTGTAATACAAACAGTTTATGTTCATAAAAAAAGCTGAAAAGCTTTTCTGATGAGCAAATTTAATTACTGCGCTCTTTTTAGTAACAGCTTATATATCGGATTATTATGTAAAAGGGATCAGCAGCAACTTCATTTACTGCAAAGGTTTTATTTGCTTAAAAATCTCTATTAGTAATGGTGAGTTAACCCCCCCTCCCCCCAAAACGCATTTCCTATTTGCCTGAAAATAACCTCACATGCAGAAAAAGGTTTTTCAGGATACTGCAGGTGAAGTATGTCCAAGAGCAGAGAAGTACGTCCAGCTGCAGAACTTGCTTTATATTGGCCAAAGTTTTTTCACACACAAACAAAGAGATAATTTTGTAAAATATGGAAACAATTTATTTTAAAATAAGATTCAATGGAATAAAACAGCATTAAAATAAATGAAGCAGCAACATCAGACTGGGATTCTCCAGGCAATAGCAATAAAAGAAAAGGCAGGAGTGGAAAGTTATTTTACAGCAATGATTTCTGATAAATCCCCCCTCTCATTGTTAAGGACATGTGCTGAGGAAAAGGGATTTCCCATCTTGCTGCAATGTGTGGGCCTCATTTTCATTAAAAGGGAGTAGGTAACCTTGGGACTATGTTTCTCGGCTGGCCTGGGAAACGCCTTGGGATTCCCTCAGGCGAGCTGGCCCAAGTGGATGGGGAGAGTGACGTCTGGGCTGAAGCTGGTACCCCGGAAACCTGACCCCAGATAGGCGTAAGAGGATGCAATGGATGGATGGATGGATGGATGGATGGATGGATGGATGGATGGATGGATGGATGGATGGATGGATGGATGGATGGATGTAACCTTGTAGTTCTGCACCAAAATGACCAAAGACTGCCTTGAAATGAGACGAAAACATCCACCAAATAAAAAATAATCCAACAATCTGGACTAGAGTGCTGGTGTTTCTTTTAATACTTGATTTAGTCATTTTTCAGCATAGAGGAATTTTATGTCACAAGGCAAGAAAACAAGAAAAGTGTCTCAAGCATCTTAAAATTGGACGTTTGGACCTGTAGTCAGGAAAAAGCACATGTTCACCTCTTGAAAGCATCAGTATTAATAAGGATAAGTGAAAAATACAAAAGTTGTGGAAAGGAACGAACTAAGAGTACTCAATATGCACAAATCTGATGTATGTGGTTTTAAAACAATCACAAAAACATACAAAAACAGTTAAAATTGTTTACTAGCATAAGAATTTACTCATGACTATTTTTTTATTATTATTATTATATATTATGGAAGAATTTACATGATCCAATTAAAGATAGGCTGTGTCAAATTTAGAGTAATTAACATATTCACCTTGCAGGACTGATCTAAAATGAGGTTAAATAAGGAGCGGGGTGAGAATAACACAACTAATTTACACCTGTGGGGTGTAAGACATCATATACACAAGCTCCGAATTAAAGGTGTTAAAAAAAAAAAAAAAAAAACGGAATATGCCGTATTTCACAAACAGTGAAAAATGTTTTAAATAAGTTTTGCTCCTTACCACAAAGAAATGTCAGAAGAAAAATAAATCCTATATTTTCTCAGCTCTTGTAGCTGTGGGGGTAAATTAGAAACACCAATTAAGTATGAAATGGTCAATGGATGATTTGATTTCATATAGAGGTGGTAATGTAAACCACCAGAATCAGGCGACTGGATCATCTTTATAGATTCAATAAGCTTTAATTGAACTTAATGTTCTAAAAAAAATTTTATTGTGTGTTATTTTTTCACTATGTTTGCTTTATTAGCTTTCAGCTTGCTTTTTTGTTTTTCCTTTTGAACAGTTCTGCAGCCATTTATGTAAAAGATTCATCACCAGGGCCAAGAACTGACACATTTACCTTTTATAGTTTTTCAATCTAACTTGAGCTCCTGCTGTGGGAGGGACAGTGCAGTAAATTCACAGCATCTCTTTCTATTGACTCACCGTCTCCAGGCCCAAAAGGACCAGCAGAGGGATGGTTGTCAGGCCCCCTTGAATCCACTCCCCCAGTGACACCGTGCCATCCTGATCATAGTCAATCTCATGCATCATTTCCTGAAGGATCTATGACACAATTGTTTTACTATTGTAAACAGAGCATTTAGTTTACAGCAATTAAAAACCTTAATGTTCATGTTAAGAATTAACATTATGCTCATATTATACTGTTTGGCATCCCTGGCAAAGATGTGCTTCTGAAGTGGAAGAAAAAAAACCCAACATACTATAGGAATGAATTGTTTTTAATCAAATTACCAGAACCTAAATGATCAGCGTTTTAACCCAGGGACATTTCAGAATCGTATAGCGTATAGGAAGACAGATATTTAGCTTTTCCTTTGTAGATTGTTCTTATTCCTGGGTCCTCTCTGAGGGTTTCTTCTCTTCTGCTCAAATACAGCTTTTCTCTAGGATTTCAGTCTGGGGACAGAGCTCTCCATAGAAGGTTGATTTATTTCAGTGACATTGTAGCTGCTAAAGGAGACATCACTATTCAGTTGGTCGTGTGTTTTGGGTCATTATTCTGGTGAAACAACAGAACATCTTTGTACAATGTTCCTGGTACCACATATTATATAAAATGGGTTTCAGAGGCCCTTAGAGGAGAGAAAGGCCCAAAGTATCATTGATCATCATTCTTAGAAGTTGTAATCAAGACCTCTGTGACTTATTCATAATTTAATTTAACCTAGACCTCCCTATGGTGTTTTTCCCAAAATGCTTAATATTTGTCAGACAGTATTACCATTTAAAATCTGTAAGGTAGTCCTCAAAAGAAATACAACTCTCTGTTGCTCCCCTCTGACAGTGCTCTATGATTTCACTGTTATTTTTACTCTGCTCTGTAAACTGTGCTGTAGCAGCCTTTTTTTCCTAAACTTCCGGCAGATATTATTTATGCTCAGATGGGGAGAATATTTTCTGTTATTCCAAATAATTTTGTTAGAGAAATCAACATTAACCAGCTTCATGTTTATGGAGCGCTTTCTTGTCTTTCCAATTTTGAAGATTGGCAAAGAAAAAGGGATAATAGCCCTGATTTATCCAAACACTGATCAGGTTTGTTGAAGTATGTGATCCATGGAACGAGGCTTCATTCCGTGATATTGCTGTCACAGGTCCGAGTCCCTGCATGTTGATCTTTGCTATATCTCTCCCCCTTTCCTTCTTTTAACTGATTTTCCTGTCAGCTGACTTTAAAATAAAGACCTCTAGTGCAAAATAAATATTTCAAATGTTGAGGACTGTGGCATGTGTAATTTTGTAAAATATACTAAAATGTTACGGTTGGATTATTTTCATTTAAACATAAATATTTACATTTTTTTAAGTGTGACAATATGGTAAAGCAATAAATGTTAATTTTGCACATCTTTTCCAGGGGAACCAGAGAGTATAGAGGTTTCTCTGCTGTTGATCTTTTTCAAGAATGCATCCTAAGTTAGATCTATCTGCCCTTTTGTTTCTAAATAAAATATCCTTACTGGTTTGAGTTCCGTCACGTCCCATTCCAGGTACTCTGCTACGTGCATCATCTGGGAGATAATGTGCTCCAATTCCTGCAGGACAGACAGTCATTACAGGCACACAAATACTGTGTTTACCTTTGCGTATAAAGAATGATAAACAGTCAGTAATAGTAGGTTGGAAACATGTGCAGAAGAGCTGCACAGCAGGAAACAAAGGCAGCGTGGGAAGAGCTCCTCGTCTGATGGTTTAATTACAGAGAGGCTGACATTTGTATCTGGTGCCACACTGAATTATCACGACTCTGAGGACGGTTTAGGGTGTTGAGAGACAATTTCTGGGTTCATGCATGTTTTGATGTTAAATGAGGAAAGAATATAGGTCATACAAAAACAATTAACTCAGTCAGAGGTTACTGTCATATTTTTTCAGTTTTCGTCTCCATTCCTAACAGGCTATACTGGAACTGGAATCCATCCTTTCAGAGTGTTTCTAACACCCTCACCCACATAATAACTGTTTCTACAAACCTACTGGGCTTTTCATTCATAAAAAAAACTACTTTGCTCTCTATCTGATAAAATACATTTTCACACGAAATGAATGTCTGTAAAATCATCTTATTTCGTCTGTCTAGAAATTGTTATGCTGCTAATTTAAGATTTTTATTTTCTTTCTGTTAGTCTTATTATTTGTTTCATTAAACATGTCAGAGCTATAGAGTCAAGAACAAAATAAAAACAGGTGAAAAAAAATGTCTGATTTGATTTTGTTTCTCATGGTACATCACAGTGAGGCGTCCTTCACAGATACATTTACACTTTCCACCTCCTGGAGGCCTAGATCATGCACCTTTGTGTGGCTGATTGTACACCTGATACCACTGAGCAGACTGAGAACAGGTGTGCATGCAATACAAAAATGACTTCAGACATGAGGCAGGTTACAGAAGAGTACAGAGCTGCAAAAAGTCCACATGGGGGGTTAAATAATAACTGACTGCAAGCTAGAGCGTCATTAACAACTGCTTTATTAATTTACTGCATTTTATGCAAACTGCTTTACTGGTACGATTCCAGGTGCTGGGCATACTGGAGGATTTCCACACACCTTTTACTGTAAACAGATGTTCAGCAATCCAAACAACTTCTCTGTTAATTAGAATAAACACCCAATAGACCAGTCCTTCATAAGTTTAACAATTATATTTTTGTGAAAATGAAGAGAAAAAATTTACCGAGCTGTCAAGTGATCCATTTCCATCTGTGTCGTAGAGCCGAAACATGACTGTGGAAAACAAGAGAAAGTCAAATATTAGTCGTCCGGGTCATATCCCACCTCCAACTTTTGACAAGAATATCTGAACAAGACAAACTGTGTGGTGTAGTCAGAACATTTTTACAGGGGTAGCCAGGCATGAACCAGGGAACACTTAATACTGAGGGGTGTTCATGGCCAATCTACACTGTAACAACAGGAAAACCAACAAGCATAAAACCTATATGTAGGTATACCTATAAGACAAACCCAATTTTCTCATATCCATTGCTAATGAATAAACTAGGGTTAAGAGTTTTAAATTAGATGAATTAATCAATTTATTACAAACATTTTAACACATTAAAAAAATTTTCTTATATACATATTAAATCTCAAGTGGGAGCCTTTGTATTCACTGCTTTTTGTACACCCATAAATATCGCACCGCTTTGCTCAAAATCTGTCTACTGCACTCTCAACTCTGACAAACTCCACCACCTGTGCCCTTTTTTTACTTAATCTTTGCACGCTCTCGACATCACTCTCCACGCGCTCGGACTGATGCCTCGTCAAACCAGGAGCTCGCCTCTATCTCTGTACTCATGACTTATTTTACTGTATGTACTGTTAAAGAACCACACCAACTGGCAAGTTAAAGACAGGCTTTTTTTTTTTAACTAATTGCAGTAAATGCTCAAAAATGAATAGTATTTGTTAACCCAGGCTTTAAGAAGAGCTGAACAGTCATACTTTTGCCAATATGAAATAATGAACTTTATCCTCTGTTTGCTGCAAATGTAAAACTCTTACAGGCAATATTGTGTGCATTGTTGCATTATATACACTACAGCAAAAAATATAATAAAATAAAATACAGAGAACACTTAACTAACACATCCTAGATCTGACCTAATTGCATATTCTCATTGAATACTTTGCTTTATACAAAGTTGAAAAATAAATCACAGAAATAAAAAATGGAAATTTTATGTATTAACTAATGGAGGCCTGGATTTGGAGTCACAAACAACAAAGTATTAAAGAGGAAAAAAAACACGACCTACAGGCTGATCTAACATTTATGTAATGTCCTTCAAACAGGTCAAAATGAGGCTCAGTGTTTTATGACCTCCCTACACGCTCCTGAGGAGCTGGTCTCCTGAGAGATCTCCTCTCAGACCTGGACTAAAGCATTGGCCATTTCCTGGACAGTCTGTGGTGCAAAATGAAGTTGATAGATGGATCATCATGTTCAATAAATGGGTTTAGTTGCTATTTATAGCTAATTACAGAGGAGACTCCTAGATGACATGCAGAGACACATAACTTTCTCTTCTAAATGATATTTCTGAAAAAAGCATTGAATATTTCTTTTAATCATTTTACAGTTTTGTTTATTTTTACTGTAATTATGTAATTAGCTACTGTATTTTCGGTGTCAGTTCATTGTTAATATACCAATAATTGAAATGCAAAAATAGTTGGAACATTCCATTAGTATCTTTGCTGCCACCCTCTGTTTGAGAGGGGAACTGCTGAATTGCATCCACATAGAATCACCTGGTAGAGGCAGCCAGGGGTAGCCAATGATTGGCCAGCCCATTCCTCACATTGTTCCCAGTGGCTTTGATGATATGGACAGTATTAATATGACAGTAAGTCTTGTGTTTCACTTATCCTTTAGTTTAACTATAGAGTGAGCTGATATAAAAATATTTAGAGGAGCTGAGTGTGGTGGTTTTAAATATGTTTATTTACCAAACCCCCAACAGGCCATTTACATATTGCAAACAATATCCAAATCCAGCAGGGGTGTAAACACTTTATTTTGCCATTGATGGTTATAAAGGGTAATGGCTGCAATTTAATATCACACACTTTCATGCAAATCTAACACACTCAGTAGTTGTGGCTGACAGATTTGAGACAAAAATGCAAAGAATTGTTTCTTGTTTTCTCTGGTTTAAAGAAAAATGTATTTTGAAAACAGGGAGAGGGTGCTATGGTGGTAAAAGGTTTTAAATTGAGGAATAATTTTTTTTTTCCTGCTCTTTGTACTTTTTGAAATAAATACAGTTGTTATAGCGCCCAGCCTCTTGGGGGTGGCTTCCTAGGAGAGTTTTCTTTTCTTTTTTTCCTCTGTCCCCTTCAAACAGCAAGAACGTCTCTAATTGTTCCATTAAAAATAGGTGGAATAATAAAATAATAAAATTTAGCAGAGCTTTTGATATTTTACATGCTTTCAGAGCCTTTTTCTGTATTTTTAATTCTACACAATATGAAAATAAAGTTGTTTTTTGTTCCCAAATTCAGTGCTAATGCAGAGGCATAGATTTAGTGTTATGCCACAATTGCAAAAATAAAAATGGGTTTAAAGCATATAAATCACACAATTGTTACTGAGGCTGTTATTTGAGTTTATTTGGTAAAATAAAATGTTCCACACTTCAATCAGTGATCTCCCTAGCTGTTTCTTGCAGGTTGATAAACACAAAGTAACATAATAAAACAGATACAACTTCTAAGGCATTAGTTAAAATTTTACCAAGACTTTTTTCTATTTCATAATAAAAATTTTGGGGAAAAAGATTAAAAAGTATCTCATTCTACAATCGAGGATACAGTATCCTATATTGTAAGAAATATATGTATTTCTATTTCTTATTGTATGCAAATCAGCTGCACTGTCATTAACAAGACACCAGAGGGCGCCCTACTCTGCAGAATATCAGAACACTTAAGGGACACACACTCTCATGTTGTGTGCAGAGATAGTCATACAGAAATAGGGAATTAAATTATTCAGTAATAACTGTGCTTAACGAAAGCAACTCCTCTCAATTATTCAACATGTGACTGAGAATTATGTAGAAGCATCTCTGAATTAAGACTCACATCAGTCCAGTAAACAAGCTTACAAGAAATTCTGTCATGAATAACCAATATTTAACCTTTAAATGGTCACATTAAGGAGAATTTAGCTTAATCTGCCAGAGTTTAAGCTTAAAAGAGCTTCTCTGATGAAAGAACCAGCAAAAGCTTATATGTTTGCTGTGTTATTCAGTCATATGGCCTAATGATATAATGCACAATCTAACACTTCAAAGGCCATTTTGAAGCACCTGGAGTCTCTTTTTAAGAAAACACAGAACATTTTTGATTTAAAAAAGATTATATCAGATTGTATGCATTCTTGCTTTGTTTGTAATGTTTTAAATGAATTTGCTCCTCTTCCTTTATTATCTTTTACGAGCCAAAAATAAGTAATTACGGTAATCAGAAGGGTATTGACCAGAGCAAATTGTCATGCAGGACTAAATTTGGCCGAATGAACACCAGTCCATCAGAGGCATGCGGTTGTGCAACAGACTGCCAGCTTATATCAGGATCTGTGGCACCTGTTTTGGCAACTTTTTGAAACATTGGCTAAAAACCAACCAGAGGTACACCTGCACTTCTTGTAACCACACAAATTTTTTTGTGTTTTGTTTTATATAGGTGATGTTTGTAATATTCTCTGCTCTTTGTTTTGTGGGATGCTTTCTGTGTTTACCTGCCTTAGGATAATGGATGGAAATTGGCTATTGTGCTAACATCGGCATAGTTACATCTATGCTTACCGTGGACATGTTGATTATGTTGATCTATAAGCATTGATCAATGGCAATTTAACACATGTTTGATCCAAATGATGCCTTAGGTTTTGAACATTAAAATATTTTCCTAAAGTGTTTTCTATCTAGAAAATGTTGGGTGAAAGCTTCTTCAATGCTAATTAAGCCGAAAAACGTAGTGCTGCGATGAATTGAACTTGCAATTAGCATGCTTTCTAATAATGATATGTACTATGTACTGGTTTGGTTATTAAGAAACATATTATGTATAGATTGTCCATATCATTCAATTATTAAAAATGGGCACATTTGTAGGTAAGGATTTCCAAGGCCAACATATATTCAACAAAACCGTAAAAGAAATTTTCTGTAACTTAAAGCACAAAGAACAAGAATCCTCCAGTCCAGACGACAACCTATTTCAAAAGAAATTGACTCAAGTAGTAAAAAGTCTCAGCTCTGTCCCTCTGCAGCATTTTGATAAAACGGGTGTGAGAAACGACGTTAGACGTTCTGCCCAGATGATGCCTCAAGAGAAAGCTGTAAGAATGTAGAAAACATGACTGCAAAAAGCTACTTTGTTTTCGTAGATGTGGAACAGATTATGTTTAATTAAATACATGTAATGTACTGTGGTTTTTTAGTACATATTTGATTCTCAGATGCAATGGTAGCTTTTCCTCAAACCATTAAACTATATCCTTTACTATGACTTTCAAATGATGACAGTTCAAACTGCAAGTGACATTGGATGATACTAACATTCTAGCTTGTCCTCAGGGCGCCCGCCTTCCAGCAGTGAGAGGTAAAACACAATATCCTTCAGTTGCACCGTATCCTGAGGCCCAGGCAGGGCAGGGGTCTTCAGAGGAGTGGAGTTGCTTTTGATGAGCTTAAGGCCTGCGGGGGGCAACAAACAAAAGGTCAAAACAACCTCATCCTAACCAGCAGGTATTTGTTGGCCCAAATACTGCAGGCCAGGATGGCAAGCTTTACTCATGGGCTATTATTTGCAAACAGAAAAAGGATACTTGTATTCCTCTTTGTTTGTTTAATTGCAATAACGGAAGAAAATCAGAAAAAAAATATAGAATTTAGCTTTTAGTTTCGCATAATTAAATGGTTGACTTGCTTAAACTTTCATATAACTCGCCAGCTATCTTTTAAGATCTATCTATCTATCTAGTTACTTTTTCTGAATCTTCCAAAGTATTTTTCTGAAACCTACCAACACTTTCCTGGAATTTACCTGGTAAGTACCTGTTATAAAAGTTTTTGTAATGTGTTATGATACCTTCTTTGCTTCAGAAAAGCATGTAAAAAGCTACTCAGAAAAAATCTCAGATAAAGAAATATATTAGACTTTCTGGAAAGTGGCAGGAATGTATCATAATATCATATCTGAAGGAATTCCCTGGCAAGTTGCATAAATATTCCATTGAAGTTCTGGTATTCCCTCCTAAGTTACATCTGGGTTCAATGGCAGTTCTGGGTTGTACCCACTGAATTTTTGGAAATTTCTTCTGAGTTTTGTCCAAACTCTTAGATGATAAAGAACAGGCTTAGATAAGTAGTATTTAAAAAATATTATCAATTACAAAAAAAACACAAAAATAAAGAAAAGAAAAATCCTAGGCACCAGAGCAATCAGAGTCTTTCAGAGTTGTTTGATGATGATTCATGATTGACAGGAGTGGATAGAGAGGAGGGGTTAGGGGTCCAAAGTAGGATAGCTTGGATGGGTATGGGGAGGGAAAACAATTATACAGCTCTCAGTAAAACTGTTGGTTGTTTAAACCCTGCTGTCTCTAACTATGGTGATGTTCCTCCTCAATTTTTCTAGGAGGTCTTTCCCAGTCTGCTATTATAAACAGTAGTCTGTCTTTGGACATAGTTCCAACAATTTTAAAATATGCTGTGGTTCAAAACCAACTCTTGATCCAACAATTCTTTCAAATGATAGGCCTATTTCTAAGCTTACCTTTATTTTTTTAATTCTTGGTTGATGATCAGCTGATGGCCTTTTGGAAGAGCATGATATTTTAGGGGTTTTTCTAATATGCTTTTAAAACTTCACACAGCACTTGATTGTCCCTTAAAATGTTTGATCAAAGCAGTGGGCTGCCATTGTGCAGCACCAGGGGAGCAGTGTGGGGTTAAGGGTCTTGCCCAGGGACCCAAATTGGCAGTCTGTTTGAGTGGGGCTCGAACTCAGAACCTCTGGATTCCAAGCAGAATGCCATAACCACGAGGCCTGCTGCCTGTGTTCAGCAGGAAGCTCCTTTGGTTGACCTAAGTTACCTAACCCTGTACAGGAAGTCAGTTATTAAAAATCTTGCTGGCAAAGTGGATGCTGTTCTTAAATTTTTGCAGCTAGATTATAGCAATTGTAAAGACAAGTTTTTTTTGTTTGTTTTTTTAAGGCAGTTGACCAATTGCCCATCCTCTCCAGAGAAGAGTAGAGTAGAGACCGTGATCCATGCCTTCATCACTACCTGGCTGGATTACTGTAATGCACTTTATATGTGGGCTTAGTGCCTCCAACATTGCTCAATCCAGAAAGTGCAAAATTCTGTGGTAGCCTATGTCTTTTAGCACCCACATTTAGCACCCACCCATATTTGTGCCTCATTATGCCTTTAGATTTTAGGATTCATTTTAAAGTTATTTGATTTGTTTTACCTCTCTTCCTGATTTTTAACTCATTTCTTTGCGCTTGCTTTTAACTCCACTTGATATGTTGATCTTAGCCTGTCATTTTTAGCTATTTTTCATTGCAGACATTTGTAGCTTTTATTTAAATTTTTGTCATTTATTATATTTTATTTTTTTATTTCATGTTAGTTCTCTGAATGTGTATTGGGTTGCTGTTGTTCACTCTACACCGTATTGTCCTTGGGGAATTTTAAAGTGCTCTAAATTTAGTTGGAATGGATTGGATTGAGTTATACGGATACAAAATGTAAACAATTAAAATGTAAGGAAAAAGGCTTCAGACCAGATTTTGGGCTGTACTGTGTATTACAAAAACAAAGCAACCCTTTAACTGGCATTATTACATTTTGGTATGTTGAAACTACAAGTACTATGTGCAAAACCAACACACAGTAGTTTCTTTTTTTAAAATATATTTCTTATGTGTACACATTTTTTTTTTATATAAAAATCTGAGAACTACTGTATGCATTTTGTTTTTAGCCAATATAATCTTTGATAAACTGAATCATACAGAACAAAGAACAGATCAGACAGGTTAGGAATGCAGATTTGAAGTTTTCTTACAAGGCTTTATCGAATAATGTATCAGGCTTTAAATATCGTAAAGAGCAATGTTCAATGGTACAAGTTCGAAAAAATTGGTGACACACACCAACATTTTTTAAATTTATAATATAAAATGTCCTAAAATGTATGACTTAAGTTCTGCTTAGAAGTTTTGACAACAGTTAGTTGATTTGTCTCACTATTTTTTACAAGAAAACAATTTTTTATTGTAATGCTGAAAAAATGTAATGATTATTATATGAGTGTTTTCTCACTTAAAAACACAGAGGGGTGTTGTTAAAGAGGAGGATGGCATACAGTGAGATGGAGATGATCCAATGTGGAAACCTCTGAAGGTAGAAGGTGAAGGCAAGAGCAGAATTTTAGATTCAGAGAGTACATTGACGTTATACCTGTTTTATTTTATAATGCCCTGTGGTAGCAATTTAAAATGATTATGATGTGTTACAAATGATACACTGAACTTTGGCCTCCTGCTTTTCAACAACACACAGTGTAACAAAAAGAAAATACAGTTTTTGAAGACATTAAATCAGCATTCTTGCAGTAACCATTGTCAGCCTCCTCTGTCTGTATAGAAAGCAGGATCATCATGCAGATTTTACAATGTTGCAAAATATCCCAGGGCCCCATTGCTCTGTAAAAGTTCAGCTCCAAAAATGTCCTCCAAAGTCAAAATGCAACAGTTAAAATGTTACATCCAGGGTTATTATAGGTAGTTAAAACCAAACAAAAATGAAGATCTAAATGGAGATGATTGTTGTTAACTCAAATAAAGAAAAACCTAAATCAGAAAAGAAACTATCTGAAACTGTCTGTACATTTTTTTAAACTAAAACATAATAAAATTACCTATATGTAGTCTACTTTTCATATTTTTATATATTTTCTTTTAATAACTCATCTAAGCTCATGTGAAATTGTGTTTTTTCTACAAGATTCAGTTATAGACAGCTGTAAATGAACCAGTTTTGGAAAATGGCATCATATGTTCACTTTTATTTCTCACATATGATTTTATCAATATAATACTTTGACATCTAAGAATTAACTGTGGCATGAAGAAACTAAAACTTGTACTCCAACTAATAAAAACTAAATAAAATGCGTCTACATAATAAAAACTAGCAAAGACTTTCTAAAAGTGAACAAAAACTACCTGAATTAGAGAATAGGGAAAAATCTCATTATAAGGTTGGTTAAAATCAAATTGGTAAACAGATTAATTCTGTCTTTAGAATGCTGAATGGAACTCAATACAAAGCAAAAGCTAAACCGAGAATTTAAATACAGATTAAAAAGGAATCTGTCTCTGAAATATTAATAAAACAAAAGAATATGTGAATATTTAAACACCTGATGAAAGACCAGGAAAAATCAGCAATAGGTTAAGAAAACATATTCCAAGATTTCTTGTTTTTGTTTTTTCTTTTTAACATCTAAATCTTTTTAAATTAATTTAGACATCATCCTGTCATTATGAGATGACAGGATGACAAATCAGTTGAATCACAGAAATCACAAATCTTGCATCCATTCATCTTGTCTGCAAGGTACCCTTTTTTATGCAAGACTTTTATTTTACACCTTCCAAAATGCTCAAGTATTGTCTGCTTAGTTTGTAGAATGTTTTCACAAAAACTCTTTCTGATCATAAATGTATTCAATTAAAATGTTGGGCAGAAATGTTTGTTTTGTCTGGTCAGTAGATGTTTGCAACTCTCCTCTGGATGTTGACTGAACTACGGTAAGTCCATCCATTTTAGTATCCTTTACGATGACTCCTGGATGCACATAGATGAGTTTCGATAAGCCAGAGACTCATCAGGATGCATTGCAGCTCAATACTGTCAAAATGTCACGTGGTTCCAAAGAGACCCTATCCATAAATTTCTAAATATTAAGGCATTACTGTATATATTGCTTTCTGAGATCTTTCTATGTAGTTCATGATGTCAGAACAGCCTTTTTAAAGTAATTTCTTGAATGTTGACTGAGTAATCACTAGTTTTGCAAATATTATAAAACTTTTCTCTTTAGTGGTCAATTTAATATGATGGACAATAATGGCAGGTGGGTTTGAATAACTTTTTTTATTCCTATATATTCACTGAACATTTTTTTTTTTACATTGGATTTCTGTATATTTTTAAATGTTAATTACACCATCAATATTTCACTACTATGAACATATGCATCTAATAAAGCCTCTACAGCAAGCCTGACCTGATTGTTCTGGCATTGCGAAACAACCAGCACCTGGTTTAATGTGTTATTGTTCCATTTTGGCATCATCTTGGCTATAATACAGCAGAATGATTTAGCATAAACGCTAAAAACAAACAGAGCCCCTGCCAAGAGAATTGGCTCACTGTACGATTTACATGTCATGCCGCCTCACCAGTTACTGCAGCTGAATTAGTACGCCTGATGACAAATATACGAGTTACTACATAACACCAACATCTGCTGTGTTTACGACTGCGTGTTTGCCTTGGGAGTGAGAGAGTTTTGTTTTTATACTTACCAGAGACTTTAGGCTTGTCGGTAGATGAGGGACTTGGTTTAGGTCCTTTGTTGCTAAACGACATGAAGAGGTGTTGACAGAACTCTTCAGGGAGTTCACTCTCCAGGAACGTCTGCATGAAAACCTTGAAACCTTCGAAGTCGATCTCCTAAAACCGAGATGGAAAAAGATGATCGCTGTGCTGGTTCTCAAGTTTTGACTAATGTTATTTTCTATTGACTCAACTTTGTGTCACCACCACTGAATTTCCAAACGATCAAGATCAGGAGTCCCTGATGAAACTCTACTTCTAATATCTGCCCTACCAGCTTTTCTGTACATGGACAGCTGTTGTCTTACAAGAAAGTAGCCCAGATTAAATCTTTTATCCTTTGTGTTTCATTTCTTAACTTTAAAAACCAAAACTCATGAATAAGAAGTAAAAAAAAAAAACATTTCTAGAAAAGTTTTACTGCACCATTAAATCGAGTCACATTGAAGAGTTACCAATGGATCAAACTGCAATGGGAAGGAAACCTTCTAAAGTTGGTCCTTAAGCAGCAGCATCTTGTAAATGGTAAATGGCCTGTACTTATATAGCGCTTTTTCAAGTCAGGTGAGTTGACCAAAGTG